GTACTTCCGCCTTTGAGTGGAGCTCCACTCGCCCCGTATTCTGCAGCCAGACCCTATTGGGATAAAAACATCTCAACTTTTCAGAATGCCGCAAGCGCACCGTAGGTCACGTGACACGAACCAACCAATCAGCTTCCTCGCCATTTTTGTTACCTCTTCTTAAAATATAATCAAACTGGTCCTTGTCCACTCTGAAATAGGCTTTGAACCTCCCATTGTCCAGGCGGAGTTCCTGAATCAGCTGGTGAAATTCCCCATGGTTCTTGCGTTTTTGTATTATGGGGTGCACCCAAACACTGCGGCGGTTTTTTTTTTTTTTTACTTTTCTGAGTAAATAAATCTTGTAACAGAATTACAGCAAGGGTTTTTTTCCACGGTGGTGGAAATCCATTGCTGAAATTTCCTTCATGTAATGGAGAGCGCAGCTGATGGTTGCCTAGCAACGACAGACGCCTCCGGAGTGCAACCGCCCTAGCGCTTCTTTGGAAAAAGGAGAACGCGTGCGCCTAGCGTTTTCTACGCGTTTTTAGGCGCGATATGTGAACGGCCCCTAAAGCGACAGACGATAAAATGCAGCACGCTTCGGAAAAACAGAACGATATCGTGCGTTGGTGTGGACGCTATCACTGTAAAAATGAATACGCTTTATCTAACCAATTACAAATTACAAGCAATATAAGTAATTAAATTGAACAAATTAGAACTGAGTAATATTAAATCAAATTATTTCTTCAAAGTTACCCATTTAAAGTGTAAAGTTTACACCAAAAAATTAAACAAAAATATCTGAATAACAGACAGGCATCAAAGATTAATTAAGAGCTCTTTATTTTATAGCCTATTGGCAACATTGAAGACAGCTGATGTTAACAAGCAGAATCACTGAAGGAGAAACTTAAAACTAACACCGATCACCATAATGGCGTCTTAAATGTAGGCCTACTTAAAAAAAATTTTTTTACTCATTTTAAATTGTTAACTTTTAAGGAATTAATTTGAGATCATAACTCAATTCTAATTTGTTAAATTGAATAATAATATTGCTTGTAATCTGTTGACACAATTTTTTGGATCAAAGTGCTTTAATTTTTACAGTGTATCGTTCTTGGTGTGAATGGGCCTTTAGTCAGCATGGTGAATCCGCTCCCTCACGCAAAAAAAAAACTTTTTAGAAAGACTGGGGGTTTGTTTACGGGAAACAGCTTTTAACTAAAAACTGAAAACGTTTTATGCGTTTTGGCCGTTCATTTAGCCTACATGATGAAGGAGTTTTGGGGGCCTGCAAAGAGGTTTCAAAGTGCAAGTTATTTTAAAAACGATACCGTCATTGTCTTGGTGTAAACTACAAAAACGTGAATTTGTGAAAACAGTGACATCATGCACATTGTGTTCAGTCTATAGTCGCATATTATGACATCGCCAATTATTGATCTGGAAAATCAGTGTGAATAGAGATGTTTTGACAACATTATGTGTAGGCCTACGTGAAAAACGCAAAGGAATTAAACAATTTTTTTCAGTACTTCGTTATTGTGTAAACGTGTCCATCCAAATCTTCGCCGTATGGTAAATTGTCCTTACTAGTTCTTTACCTATAAGCAACTAATGAATGAGAAGTCTCGCATAGCTTAGAATAAAAAAGTATCTAAGATAAAAAATAATTCATTAGCTAACTTTCACTTTGCAAATTTGTGCATATGAATTCATGCAATCGGGAATGTCGCTTGAGACAAATTTGACCAACAGAAACTCTGCTAACAGGGAACATTCAAGTTATAAACAAAAGTTCTTCCACTAACATTAACAGAATGTTCTTTTGTAATCATCTGGTCTATAATGTTCTCAAAACATTATTTATAATAGCCTTTTTATAACATTTTGGGAACATTATAGACCGGATGATTACAAAAGACGGGATCTCAGATGCTATAGATGTTATCAAGGGGGGAAAAAAGACGTAGGACTATTACTACAATGTTCCCGATAAAATATGTATTTATAGGCCTACAAGGTTTTTTTTCTTCCTGGAAACATTGTAGAAATAGGCCTACATATATTTTCCCCTTGATACTACTTGTTTCAGAACATAAAGAGAACTTTCAAAAAGTAGGCTAACACCCACAATGTTTACCAAACGATAACAAAAAAAAAAAAACTGTTCAGAGAACATTCAGAAATAATCCCAGATAATGGCACAGGTACATCTCTAAAATGTGTGCTAAAGAGCGCTTAATCTCGAAAACATCTATTGTGTACAAACATCTGCTAAACATCTTAGAAAAAGCAGACATCTCAAAGACGTTTTCTTAACATCTCTCAGAAAACGTCTTAGAGACGTAATGCAGATGTAAATGCAGACATCAAATAGACATCTCTGAGCTCAGAAGGTTTGAATGTGACTTCTGAGTGAGTTTCTTACATCAAGTAACGGACGATGGACCTTTTTTCCCCACACCTTAAAAAACGGTGAAAGAGAGTGCAGATTTACATTGCCTCTCTCACAGATGCTCAGAACATTAGCGCCGCATTTGAAGATCCCCCGTCAATTAGTCCCACAACCATGATGAAAGCCCTCGCCTAAGGCAAGGAACGCCAAGAGCCTCTGAATAGCTGTGGGCTTCACAGAAGCATGAATTTGGCAGCTATCTTTGGCAAGGACATTGTACTCTAATTGTTTGCCCAAAATGAATAGGTTCAAAATGGTTGGATGTAAATGTTTTAGATTCTCCAGACGCACTTGTCAGTCTTAGTTACGACAGCCTGCCAGAGAAAAACTTTCCTCATTTTATTAGAAAAACAGGATGTGTGGGATTTTAAACACTACATCAGTTGAAATATAAATATTTTGTAATATTATAAATGCTTTTGTCAGTGTCCTTGCTGAATAAAAGCAGTTTTTTGTTGTTTTTTACATGAGGGACACAGTAGCATATACTGCATATCTATTGAGATTACATTTTTTTTCTTTAAAAGGGAATTTCTTAGGGGTTGTGATCCTTATGAATAATTGCTCGAGAGGCCTTGAACAATACATGTAGGCCAAATGACTATGCATGTGAATGAAAGGAATTCAGCCACACAGTTTTGTGGGTTTCTGATTTATTTTGGCAGTTTCCATCAAACAAGCTTCCAGTGAAACTCTAGTACTACTTGTGTTTATGCTGATGATTTTTACATGGGTGAATTTTAAAAATGTTGACCCAATTTACAACCCCTCATAAACTTGTCAATCAATGAGGTGGAGGAGGCGAGATTTCCTTTGTAAAGATGTTATTAGAAAGCAAAGAAGGTTTGCTCCTGACAAAATATTTGCCACAATACCTCATCCAAAATAGCTTTGTTTTTCCAGAAAAGAATCCTTCCTGGCTTTGCCCATCGGGTGCTGCTGTTTTCCTGCCATTCTTTAGACTATCACTTGATTCTCTCCTGCCTTCCTGCTTTAAGCCTCAAGCAGCTATTAGTGTGTCCCCAGTCAATCATCAAAACACATAATAATGCAACAAAATTCACAAATCATTTTGTTAAACGGTCAAATAAAATTATCACACGTACATTATTGTTAAAAAAAATTCATAATTATTATATACAGTATATATAAGTAAATATTTCTTAAATATATACATGTGTGTGTATATTTATATATACAAAATAATTATACACAGTTCACACACATGAATTATGTAAACAACTTTTATTTTGGATGTGTGTATATATATATTATCACATTATTAGTGGTCTTCGTCGTCGGTTAGGAACCTGGGTGTCCTCTTTGATACCAATCTCTCATTTGAAAGTCATGTGTCTAGTATCTGTAGAACCGCATTTTTCCATTTAAAAAATATATCTAAATTACGCCATATGCTCTCATTGACAAATGCGGAACAATTAGTTCATGCGTTCATGACATCAAGGCTAGATTATTGTAATGCTATAATGGGCGGTTGCCCTACACGCTTAATAAACAAACTTCAGCTAGTCCAAAACGCAGCAGAACCAGGAAGTATGACAATATAAGCCCGGTTCTGTCAAAACTGCATTGGCTGCCTATTAAACATCGTATAAATTTTAAAATATTGCTGATTACTTATAAAGCACTAAATGGTTTAGCTCCGCGGTACTTGAGCGAGCTCTTAACGCATTATAGTCTTTCAAGTCTATTGCGATCTCAAAACTCCGGCCAGTTGATAATACCTAGAATATCAAAATCGACTGCTGGCGGTAGATCCTTTTCCTATTTAGCACAAAAACTCTGGAACATCTTCCTAACATTGTCCGGGATTGACACAATCTGTCAGTTCAAATCTAGACTAAAAACACATCTCTTTGGCCTAGCATACACATAACACACTATAGACTCCCTAAATTCAAAATTAGGATGCATTGTTTAGATCAGCCGGAACCAGGAACACGTCCCATAAATCCTGATGTGCTTGGTACATCAAAAGAAGGGTGGCGTCTACACTAATATTAGCTTCTCTGTTTATACCGAGGGACCCTCTATGGTGGACCTGCGCCTGGACCCATCCCAACTCATCCTCATCGACACGACAGCCATCGGCACTGATCCTCAACATCTCGTCTCCAAACTGGCGTGATTACTTCAACTTCCAAACAGATGGAAATGGACAAATTCTCTTAATGTTTCAATCCAATTGGTTTTGTAATCACTGTTCCTTATTTGGCCAGAGGAGAACAGGCCCCCGATTGAGCTTGGGTTCTCCCAAGGTTTTTTTTCTCCATTCAGTCACCTGATGGAGTTTTGGTTCCTTGCCACTGTTGCCTTGCTTTTTGGCTTGCTTAGTTGGGGACATTTAATATTCAACAATATTTTTGATCTGATCTCATTTTCATGTTATCACTGTAAAGCTGCTTTGATACAATCTGTATTGTAAAAAGCGCTATATAAATAAATGTGACTTGATCTTATACAATTGGAAAATATTAATAACAGCATGCTCTACGGAGAATTCATAACAAGACACAACATGTTTCAAAAGACATAAGTATATATTTATATTCTTTATTTCTTTCTACAGTTGAAAACATGAAGAAAATATTTCAAGAAATACTAAGGAAATGCATCTAGTCTAAACAATCTAAACACAAGAAGTGCTACGGAATGAGGCATTAAAATATTTAAAGTATCATTGTAAGAGCACACTGAATCAATGTGTCAACTTTCTGAGAAAAATCAAATGCTAACATCGGTACAGAGTACAAAAGAAAGAAAAAGCATGCAGCCTAGATGCAGAAATCATGCTGGATTATTAGAATATACTTCAGTGTTTGTTACCTTGAATACCACTTCAATAGTTCTCAGAAAAAATCTCAAGAGACATACTGCCCGTATTTAAAGCTCCATTAATATTAATTCATATTAATACTTATATCATATATTGCACAAGCCCAAAATTGTAAATTTATTCGAGTGGAAGGATTGGGGGGAGGGGGGTGGTTCACAATGCATCATTTTGAAAACATTATGTAGATTGGACGGTCATATCAGAGATTCAGTGCCACCGTAGAAATTATTCTAAATTAGATTCGCACCCGTCCCCGCATCTTATTATGCGACCAAGCCAGCGACGGTTCATGTCAAAGCTAAAGCTTCTACTGTAAGAAACAAAACAGATTATCCATTTGCAAAAACGAGACCACTTTGGTTTTTAAGAGTACTTTTTCTGTACAAAAAAAGGTTTATTTCAGATTTATGTTGGAATAAAATTCAAAATTCAAAAATCAGTAGCACACTGCATTTGATTCAACTGCACCTGAGATCCGTGGCATCTCTGGCCAAGGCATCAAATTCACAACAAAACTGATAATAGATGATTGACTATCCCATTTCATATTTAGGTGTGATGAGGTTTAAACAAATGCATTAGTCTTAAAAAAACATAGTTGATTTAAAGCAAATATTGTTTTAAAAGAAGAAACATGATCAAATGGAAACTATCATTATACTAGCGCAGAGCACAACAATATTGTGAGATTCATCACTACTCCATAGGATAAACAGCTTGACTGCATTCACAACCAAACTAACACACCGAATTATGTGAAAATAAATAAATTATGACTCATTTGGTATGTACAGGATTACTTCTTTCCAATTGTTTGTGACTATTTACTTCGGTTAGTAAGCCATTTCCTAATCTAGGGCAAATTAACATTAATACAAATTAGCAATAACTTCATCTTCAAAGGGCCACTGCAGTCAGACTCGCGTTAGCAAACATTTAATGCTAAACGCTTCACACTGTGGGTTTTCCGCCGTGATATCAGTCCCCTCGCAGTGCAGAGTCGTGTGGTGATGGTGCCCTCTGTTGCTAAGAGTGAGGCAGTGCAGGTGTGGATGAAGGAAGAAGGAATGGAGGGAAGTATAAAAGAGGAGAGAGAGAGAGAGAGAGAGAGAGAGAGAGAGAGAGAGAGAGGAGGAGTTCTACTCATCGCAGCCCAGAAGCTCCATTCGCAGGGTGATGCGTTCATGCCACGCCCACGGCAGGACGCGGACGAATCGCGCGTAGAAGGGGGGCTCGAACACGTTCTTTTTGTGCACGTTGTTGTCACTGTTGCCAGGGAAAATCTGCAGGTGAAGCAGAAGAAAATAAAGATGGGGTGAGACAAGGACATGACAGATGGATAGGGGAAAAATTGGAATGTGTTCAATGAAAATTCTACAATCATGACTGTGGAAGGCAAACTTTTTTAGTCTTTAGGGTTCAAACAACATATTTTCATTATATGGGAAAAAAATTCAAAACATTATGGCATAGTAGAAAGTCAGTTACACAGGTTTTGATTTTCATTTTTTTGTTTGTTTTTAAATGTGATTTTTTCCCCCTTCACAGATCGTACAAGTAGACCAATGTTGAACACATAAACATCACAGACAGCGTTATTTTAGTATTATTTATTCTACTATAGTATAAAAAATCTATTAACTTTTATTTTTATATATTTTCATTTTACATTTAGTTATTTTGTTATGCACTTTTGTAATTTTAATCATTAAAAAACATTTCTATTTAGCTTTAATTTATTTAGATTTCAGTTTTGCTTAAAATAATTTTATTTCATTTATTTCATTTAGTTGCCAAGGCAACATTTTTATTTTGTTTGATTTTTAAAGTCGGCATGAAATCAAATTTGACAAATCTTCTTTTTATATGTAATATTGTAGTGTTTATTATAAATTATTTATCTGTGCACTTCCTTATTTTTTATTTTTTTAATTCATGTACCCTTATAATCTTTAATCTAATACATTACCCTTCCCTCCCCCATCGAAACGACCTCACTTCTATTTCGGTCACGTGGAATGGCGAAAGGGTGTGGCCAGATCCGATGAGGGTGCGGTTATCGGTGCACCGCCTCTCAGAGAATCACATTCAAATCTGCCTCCATTTTGTTTGCAACGCCCAACCTCCAACGATCTAATCAATTCCCGAAGGACGAAATCAAGCCCTGCCCTAAATTTTTTTTCTAATTTCAGAAGCCGTCTCACTCGGATATACGTCATGACAGGGAAAAAATTACAATCTCAACTTCCGTTTCACACCGACTCTAATTTTAAGTTAAGATTTTCATACAGTATAATATCATCAGCTTTATTTCATTTAATGGAAACAATTTTGAATAGTTTTAGTCACTTATTACAGCCACTAAATACATGAAGACAAAACATTTTTGCAACCCATTTGTGTTCTGAGTGAAACTTTTAATGTGTGGAAAGGGACTTTATCCAAAAAAAGCTAGGTAACATACTGTCGGCTGTGTCCGAAATCACATACTCTCTTGAGGAGGTACTTATTTTTGAAGAAGTGTTTGTGAGTGCTAAAAAGTATGTTCTATTGAATAATTGTGTGTAGTATGAATGTAATATGGCCGTACTACATCCCCCATGTTGTCACTATCATGTGACCTACCAGCGTCAGTTGTGTCACTTAACTGCCATTCATAAATCCTCAAAAGTGTAAATTTTGATTTCATGTCGACTTCAATTGAGGATTCCAATCTTTTTCAGAAACCAACCTGATCTGTTTTTGTCTTGTCGTCTTTGAGTACGGTCCAGTACTTGCCGTCATCACTGTGAGCTACTTTATAGGCGGACACAAACTGCACATTGCCAAAGTCTTTGGCCCCTTGCGTGATGATCCCTGTGATGCGCTTTGGTCTGAGCAGATCCACCTTAAAACAGACAGATTAGAAAAACTCAGCATGTGGTCTTACATCCAAAACCGGCATTTAGTTATAATCATTCATGCTCTGAGATATTCATTATTGGCCTCCTGGTAATTGTGTAATTGTAAGAGACTGATGTATGTAAATGATGGCCTCCCAGGACAGTGATTTCAATTTCAAGATTAAAAATTGGTGCGTTCCGATTGCGTTCGGCCTAAGAAAGGTTATCCAATGTGTGAATGTGCTAAGATCCCAAAGCTACGATTAAGAATGAATTCATTTCTTAAAATGGTGGAATAGAATAATAGAAGGGAAGACACTCAAGCTCAACATGGACAGTATCCAGATAATACTCTCACTTAATAAAACATCAGAGTGACATACACTGTATGTGTGTATATACTGTACATTCCTATTTAAAATATATCACGATTTCCACAACAACAAAAATTAAGTCGAAACATAATAAGAAATGGTACTTGTGCACCAAATCAGCATATTAGAATCATTTCTGAAGGATTGTGTGACACTGAAGACTGAAGTATAAATATTACTCTAGACATTACACATGGATGTTAATGTAAATAATGACGTTATTCTGTCTCTTTACAGATGTCTCACCTGCAGCCACTCTGAGCGGTCATTGGTGGCCGCTGTCCAGGCGTTGGTCTTGCCCTGCTTGTCCAGACGAGCGTAATGTGGGTGCCAGGTGAACGCCTCGATCCCCCAGGTGCGGAAAGAGCTGGAAGCCGTCAGCTGCCTGTCATCGATCAGCCGTGACTTGATACCTAGCGGCTCGGAGCAACCTGTCGTGTTCAAATACACTGTGAAGTGAGACAACAGAAAGAGGAAGAGGGCGGGGACAAGAAGTGGCAGAGAGATGGATGGGAAGCGTGTCAACACAAGCGGCACAAACCACATCAGCTCAGAGTGGATCGAGAGCAAGTTTCATGCAGGTGAGTGGCAAGATGCTGTGTGTGTGAGTGTGTGAAGCGCATGCGGGCGAGAGCCGGCGGTGTGTGAAGCATGCATGCAGCTGTGATGGACAGCCTGAGAGACACAGATGGAACAGTAAACAGTGATAAATGTAATAAATGGAACAGTGTTTTTTTAACAAAAACAGTAATAAATGGAACAGTGCATTTATTTCATGCATTTAGACAAAATAATATAGTATATTATTGTAAAAGTATATTTAATATTATACATAATTTTATAATATTATAAAAATTATTTTAATATCGACCATTAAAAAATAGAATTAATTTAATAATTTATTTAATTTTTTTACATTTATTAAATGTAAACATATTTTAAAATATTTTATTCTTATTGCAAAATGTGTTATTATTTATTATATTTTTAAAAATTTAAAGTTGTTACTAATGTAAATTTATTTCAATTTTTTTGTTTTATAATAATATTATATAATATAAATGGTCAATATATAAATTAAAATATATTAATATAATATAAATTAAATAAATACATAATGAAAAGACTTCATCTTTCTTAACATTAGCAAAAAACAAGAACGAAATGTACTAAGCACATACCACAGAAATTAACCAGTGTGATTCATCATCACTATAAGCAGCTCAAAATTGTGTCACATGTGTCACAATAAGTCAAAATCTGGCTTTACTGGCTAGAGTCCCAGTGTGGAGAGATGCGACTGTGCTCCTTCAGGCAAATAGACTGTGGTCCTTGACTTCACCACAAATGAAGAGGAGCAGGAAATTGTGCAAATTGTAATGCTGCTTACTCACTTTTTCTTCCATAAAACCACAGCGTTATTACCATATTCTAGTGGAGTTGTTTTGTCTTTTGGCTCCCATAAATCTATTCATAAGAATGTATAAACATGCAAAAATATTGCTGGGACTTTACCGTTGAGTTCACAGCCCACCAGCTCCACTCTCAGGGTACAGGCTTTACGACACACAACAGGAACGATTCGTATGTACTGAGCGATGATTGGAGGGTCAAACAAATTGGTCTTTGTCCCATCGTTGTCAATATTACCAACGAAGATCTGGAGAACAGAAATGTATACATGTATTAGTTACTCAGAGATTATAATATAGTTACAGGTTGTGAAAAACTTGATTCAGGACTTTTATTTTATAAACAGATTTTTGCTTAATGCCTTCATTTTTTTTTGCAACTTTTCAAAATCCTATTATGCATTAATCCTATTGTCCTATTGTATTATTACATGTTTAAAGGGGACCTTACGCCCTTTTTCAAAGTCTTGATTTTGTTTTTGGGATCTACTAGAATAGGTGCTCATGCTTGAATGTTAAAAAAAAAAAAAAAAAAACATTAGTTTTCACATATTTCAACAACTACAACTGACCAAAAGTGCCCATAGTTGAATAAACACCTATAAACACTTTAAAGCCCAAAAAGTAAAATGAAATAAAACGGCTGAATCATCACCATGTCTTTGTTTTGGCCCTCAGGTCTGTACATAGTGTAGGTTCGCCCATCCAAACTGGACGCCACCTTGAAGGCTTTGATGAACTCGGATGTGCCCATGCGACTGGCACCCTGGGTAATGATGCCAGTGAAACGCATTTTCCTCTGTAGGTTGATCTAAAATAAGCGATGAAATGGGTAAATTTTGGGTAAATATAGATCATATTTTGGGCCCAAACTGAACATACTAGTTTACCTCCATCCAGGGGTTCTTGTCATGTGTCGCAGAGGTCCAAGCATTAACAAGTCCCTTGTTATTCAGTCGGGCCAGCTCGGGCCCCCAGCGCTGCAGTCCCAGAATGCCGTAGTACACCGAGGAGGCGGAGATCTGAGACTCTGCGATGCCTCCTCCTTCCATTCCCAGCAGAGAGATGCATCCTGGGAACCAGAGCCAGATATTAGCAGACATTCAAGCACTCAGGACACAAACAGGCTAACTGGGTGACAGACAGATGGACAAACAGTGTGATGACCACATTCACAGGGGAGAGACATAGACATTGTGTGCTGAATATAGTCGCCAATTGAAAAGCCAAATATGTGGAAAACAGTCTGCGTCCAGGAGACGGACATGTGTGTGCTGGCAGTGTCCTACTCACGCAGTTGGCAGTGCTTTCCCACATACGGTGAGGGACATTTACAGGTGAAATCGCCATCAAGATCTCGACAGATCCCTCCGTTCTGACAGGGCTGGCCGGCACAGTCGTTCACATCTGCAGAAATCATAAGGTTTCTGTAAAGCTAATCAAAACTGGTCTGGAAAAGCCTGAAGTGATCAAAAAACAAAGCTTTGTGACCTCTAGGTGGCGCTCACTAGCTACATGCAACTTCTACATGGTCTGAGGTAAATATATTATCTAAAGAAACATTGTTTCAAAAGATAATTTTATCTAATATACATATTTATTCTGCAAAAAAGTTCAGAACATAGAAAAGTCATTAAAGTCACTCTCATTTCGTAAATTTGGTTTGGGGGGGTTCTGGTGCACTGCTTTGATAAGACGCATTCATTTTTGTGACCTAATGGTTTACTTTATGCAAAATAAAGCATTAATTAAAACTGTTAAAATACAACAAAACCTCTAAAAAATATCTCATCTGAAAAAAGGACAATGTAGTGGACCTAAAAATGATCTAGAAATGTATGCCACACATCAAAATTAATATCACTGAATTACATAAAATCAAACCAAGTGCTATTTATTTTAAAGAAAGATTTTTCCAAGCAAAAAAAAAAACAAAAAAAAAAAAAACCATGGAACAAAAAACATTTGTTTAGGTTTTAAACAACATACAACAATATACAAAACAATACACTAAATTGGGTCAACATATATTATATATATATGCAGAGTTCAGATGCAAAAGTTCTAAAAGCCAATTCTGAAATTTCCTTTAATGATGATTTTATCAAACTTGTATATTAAGTTCAGTAATTTCACTTAAATGGAAAGTAATACTATTAATGTTATTATAGATGAAATTACTGAACTTAAATTTACAAGTTTGATAAAAATCATCATTAAAAGAAGAAAATTTAAATGCATTTAGAGGCTTTTGCATCTGAACCTATATATATAAATTATAATATATATATATATATATATATTAAGCATTTATGCGTTTTGATTGTTTTTATAAATTAATTTTTCCAAACAGAATACTTCCTAATTTATTGTAAAGTTTGTTTAGCTATACAGTACCAACTTACTACTAATCAGTACGAGAACATGTGTATCGCATTCATAATTCCAGCTGGACTATTTTGTTTTGACAGCTATGTGAAGAACTAATCATGGATTTTTCTTAAAGTAAACAGTCTTGGAAAACTGCTGTTTGCTCATCCAGTCAGAAGTATTTGTGTCATTCAGTTAACAGCAGGTGTCCAGGAGGTAGGTATTAAATCAAGTGCAAGAACTCTTGTCATAAGGTTTTCAAGTTTATATGTCCTGGGACCTGAATTGAGAGCATATAAACAAAACCCACATATATGACACAACATAATCATAGCACAACTGGATCTTTGCAGTCGTTCAGTAAGAGGATATACCATCTGACAGCAGACCTATTGAAGTTCCTAATCCACTTATGACCAACTGGGCTACGTCAAATCACCAACATGCTTCAGAATGATTAAAAGGTCAACATGATGACTCAGTGTATAATGGTCTTCAGTATATGTTGTGGAGGGGAAAAAAACACTAAATACGGAGGGGGAAAAAACAGTCATGGATTTTATATGTTGTTAAATGGCACCAATCAAAAAAAAAAAAAAAAAAAAAGAATAGAACATTCCAGGAAAACTGAAGGAATTCAGGGGGATTATCTGGCGTGTGCAGATGGAGCGTGACTGAGTGCGACTGGTCACAGCGGTCCAGTGCCAACGCAGTGCTCAGACATACTGAAAACACTTCCAAACCTCCAGAGGTCAGCGAGCGGCACTTCCCTCATAGGTGTAAAGAGCAGTCACCGTCGACTCATGTTGACCTACTTGATCAAATTTGCATTTGTTTCAAGCACTAATTATGTGATGTGATTAAAAAAAAAGCACAAAAATGTACATAATTTACCATAGAACGTCATAAACTTCATGAGTGCAGCAGGCGTAATGTTATGACGCAGCGCCTGAATATATTGCCCAGCTTCCAACGTGACCGGGACTAAGTTTGTGTAGTCATCGCACCTGCTTCCTGATTATTACACAGGAATGAGAGTATAGTTCCCTGCATATCAGCCTAGAAAATCACAACTTTACATTTTCCGTCTGTCTTTGTGCACGATGTAACTATAGAAGAGTCAAGTATTAAATAGGAAAAGTATCGAAACACTTTGGTCATTTTTTTGGGAGAAATGCTAATGGTCTTGTGCACTTCAATGATGTATGCTAAGCTATGCTAAAAGTGGTACCGCCAGAACCGGAGATCGGCTGAATGGATTCAAAAAAGGTAAAACTCAACAGTTTAACTCTGGGGGAGTTGTAAAATGAGCGTATTTCCAAAAAAAAAAAATGGAGTATCCCTTTAAGAGTGAATTAAAATGAAAAGGTTGTATATTTGAATCCTTAAATAAGGCCATTTCATTGATTCAGCATGTCATCAAAATCTCACTCCAGCCAAAGATGGCAACCCTAGGAGGCTATAGATAAAAACATTTAGCACTGGACCAAATACTAGCATTAAGATTTGAGACCCTTTTAGTTCAAGGTCCTTCTTCAGGCCTGGAAACTCATAAAACCGCAAAATGCTAACCGTTATTCCTATTCTAATGATATTGTGGAGCACTGAACGGAGAAGCAATTCAACGCAGTAGTGTATTGTATTACTCTGAGAACATCAATATCTAGCTACATAATGTGAAATGCAATCTTATGTCAGTTGCCACATCATCCAAATCAATAAAATGCAATGTTAGCAGGTCTCTACTTCCACACGTGACAGAGAAATTGGGGCATCCAAGAGAAAAGACTGAAGCACGCTGGGAAGGAACAAAGGAAAGCTAGCTACACATCGAGTCTATGAACAAAAACAGTGTATAGATGTGTATGTGTTTTTTGAACAACGGTTCATAAAGGTTGCAGCACCATTATGTTTATGTATTTATTCACTTTCTACATAATCTATACCTGCTTACTGACTGCAAGCCGTGTCTCCTGCCTTTGCTCTGGTCATGTCTTCACAATTTAAACTGAAATAATACAGATTCAAAATATTAATAAATATAGTAGTATATAAATAATGCTAAAATAACACTGCTGTGGACCACAGTTTGAGAAGAATGCTTTACGCTCAAGTTCTAAACAGCCATTAAAATCCCTTTAAGACTAGTGAGGAAAAAAAGAAAAGAGTTGAGAAAAATACAGCAATTAGAGGTGGAAAATAATCAAGCTCTTATTCAGTAGAAAATAGGGAAATTACAGCGTAGTGGCAGAAAGGCAGCACCAATTAAGCTAGCTTCAGATGCAAGAATTGAGCTCTCGTTAACTGTTCGACTTACTTGCAGACACACAAAAGAGGCTCTGACTCTACATTTAAACCCTACAGCAGGTTTCTATTTCAATCACCACAGCTAATGTGACCAGTGCTTCACTGCATAAAAGCTTTTGACATAGATTTCATGGCCTCTTGCAGGGCTTTCAGACCAATTTCATGCTGTCAGTGAAACATTTCTGCCAGCTGAGAGCCGAGGTTGTGTGCGGACTTCATTTACTTTGCCTCCTCCACTTGCATTTTACCCCAGCAACAGGGCCAGTGTGTGACAGTGTGGGTGTGCCAGGCTAACGTCGTATTTTAATTTATACTGCCACCATGTCTGGCACTAAACTAAACTATGCAGTGTACGAGTTTGCGTACTCCACAATCTTTGCCATCATCCAAGCATGATTTAGACGTCTCCTCGAGGGATTAAGAAGCTTTTAAACAGTCAATTCAATGTCATCTTCTTTCTAATCTAGCCACATTCCAGCCGCACTCTGAAGATGAGCCCGCATGCTATACTAAACCCAGTCAAAACATCATAACCCTGCTATCAAACACAGGAAAGCTGGCACCGAAGCCATAATATCCACCGTAATCAGAGAGATTGTGAGAGAGTCTCTGTGGTGAACTAAATAATCCATGCTGTCCTAAAAGTATAGCGTGGAAAAGCAACATTCAATTATCTGAGGATTTCTGGCATCTTTCTCGCTGATTAATTCTTTACCCACAAAACAATGTTTACTTGAAATCAAATCAGTGAAATCCAAATCGAAAAATTGGAGAATAACAGTTAACCAAAACTGACCCAATTTAGTTTCTTATGACAGGGATTTGTAGGACCTACACAAATAAAAGGAATGCCATATATCCATACAGAACAAACCCATTGAAAAATAAATCATGCATCTCTGACTCTTTTACTCAATTAAAACAGAATGGATCAATTTTTAAAACATGGTAAATACAAGTTTTAAATACTCAAGACGGTTTTTTTCAACATATGTATTGAAATTGGCTTATTAAACGCTGTAAAAACACATTTTCAAGATTTGTTAATATCACAACATTTTTTCTTTTGTCAAATCAACTTCAATAATTTATTTAGTTGAGATAACTTATTATTTTGAGTTTCTGATGATTAAATTAATCTCCTTCATTGTACTGACTAACTTTTTCCAGTTCAATCAACGTAAAATTTTAAGGCAACCAGGTTACTTACTTTTTTAAGTCCAACCAACAATATTTTTTTACATTGAAGATTTTGCTGATAATAATACGCTCCAATAAAGGCAATAAACTTATTTTATTGTTCTGATACAAGAAAAATCTCTATATTAAATGTGTTAAAATAACATTCTTAGTCTTTCCTATTTATGACGCACCAGATGGCAGATTCCAATTGATTGTTTAACCAAAATATCAATATTCATCAAAAAAGATGTTATGCGTAATGAGGAACGTTTAATTATAAATAAGCCGAGATACACTGAGACTCTTATTTTGTTAAATATCTATGCTTTACTACTTCCAGCTGCTCATTCAAATAGAGATGAGAGGGTTAAAATGAGTGGGCTACTCTTGCAACATGCCACATATTACAAAATAAAACTAAAAAGTAAATGCTGTCATAATTCTTCGACATAATATAATGAAATAATAAGGAATCGCTTGTTAAATAAATAAACGTGCAATATTCCTTGATTGCGAACTGCTTGAACATGTTTGGATGGATGGATGGATGGATATTTTTCAGTGCAAATTGTTCCAGAGTCAAATGTTTCTCTTTGTAATCTTTAAATGTACTTTATGCATGACATCTTTATGCATATCCTGTTTGACTTAGTAATAAGGCCAACTGAAGTAAAATTGGTTGTAAATGCATGTCCTGTTGATTCGATAACAATCGTGTTGCAATCATGCTTATGTTATTAGTCTAAAATGTGAGACGCAGTCATGACTTGGCTGTTTGTTGTGTTGTGCTGAGGGCTGTAAGTCTGGTTGCCCATCAGCCAATGGCAGACGACAGCAGAGATTGAAGCTGTTCTCTGCTGTCTTAACACTTGCATCTGTTAACATAGCGGAAATTCGACCATCTGCCCCCATTACATCCAGAGAGCTTTTGGGATTGACGTCTGCCACGGTACTTGGTGAAATAATTAGTCACACATTTATGAAGAGAACAGCTGCATGTGATCCAATCGACTCGCTGTGCAAATGTTTTTTTTAACTTCTAAGAAAAACTTCCTGCAATACAGTATCAAAATTATCTTCACATCAGAGCTATGACCAGTCAAAGTTAAAAAAAAGCGTGTGAATATAAAATAGTATTAGTATTAGTTGTATTTAACATTCAAACTGCTCACATACAAAGCTTAAAGGAGTAGTTCACTTTTAGGCAAGCATTTGTGCTTATAAAACTTAAACTTTGTTATATTTTTTTTTTTTAAATGACCAATCGTTTCACTTGATGTGACCCTTATTCAGCGTCTGGAATCGTTTAAAGCCCTTTGAACAGTTTGCACTGAAACTGTCTTTTGGACCTTGAACCGTTTGGTTCCCACTGAAGTCCATTATATGGAGAAAAATCCTGGAATGTTTTCATCAAAAACCTTAATTTCTTTTCGACTGAAGAAAGAAAGACATGGACATCTTGGATGACATGGGGGTGAGTTAATTATCAGCAAAACTACTCCTTTAAGCATATGTTTCAGATCTGAGACTATTCAGCTTCATATTCAAAGTTGAACACTAAAAATGCACTATAATCCTATTATTTACAAATCTTTTACAATATTGGCTTTAATAATAAGCAACTTATTCACTGTTAAGGTATGATCACATTTACTCTTTGCTCAGCAAAATTTTATGGATGAAATCCAGCCATTTTAATAGGAATCCATTTCGAACAACACACAAATTCAACATGTTAACCAATAGAAAGTTGCTTGAATTGAAAGTGACTTATGTGCAAGCAGTGCTTCATGCATCTCTACACTACTGGCAATTCTATTCAGTAAATCTGACTGAATCCAGATGATTTAGGCTGTTTATATGTATAATTTGCCATTTGGGTTCTGTTCTTTGTCAATTAATGACCATTTGGATACAAATGTGATCTCTGTCTTCATGTAAATTGTATTTCACAAACAATCAAGTTTGTCATAATTCTCAATGGTGACACCTGGTAACCACCTACACGTTTGTAACGAATAAAAGCGACTCACTGTTCTGGCAGTGGATTCCATCGAAGCCTTTTGGGCACTTGCAGACGTATTCGCTGAAGACGTCTCCTCGGCGGGAGTTGGCGATGATCTCACAGACACCATCGTTTTTACAGGGGTTTGGGTTGCAGGGCCCTGAGAGCAAAGTTCATGTGAGAAAAGATCTGCCTCAGCGGAAATGGATACAAGTAACCTTTGCACATACAGTATCGCTTCTTAACTAAACTATTTTTCCCCACACAAATATAAATAACTGATTAGACTGTTACCAATCTCTGTCTCGTTGCAGTTGTGTCCAGTGAAGCCGTCATTACAAATGCAGATAAAGGGATCTTTTCCCGCTCCGGTCACACAGGTTCCTCCGTTCAAACACACATTTACTTCACAGTAGTCAGCTGAGAAAAGACAAAGACAGTGTATTTGATTTTACATTCATTATTGACAAAATCTTCACAAAAAAAACCTCAATGGCCCTCATTCATTAAACATGAGTAGAATGAACGTCTGTGTAAATGATTTATAAAAATGTTATTTGAATAAATTGTCACATTCAAATCAATGTAACATGACTTTTCGATTGAGAAATGATTCATCTTGTGTTTTGTGAATGAGGCTCATTTGGGTTTAATTCACTGCCATCAGCAGTTTTCTGATGGGACATTACCGATAGTTAAGATTTTCACTGGGTTCACAGTTCGGTCATGTTTTTATTAAAGCCGGACGGGATGGACACGATCCAAATTGCTGACGAGGCCGCAGCATTAAAAAAAAAAAACCTAGAAATTTCCCAGTCCTGTTGTCTATAGAGAAATGGTTTGTCAGGATGTTACGTAGAATCACAAAGCACAGAGGAAAAAGCATGAAAACACACAAGGAAATTTAGAAGAAGAAAAAAATAAAATGCGTTATCCTAAATGCAAATAAAAAAATAAAAAATGTAATAAATACAAAGTTTTTGGACCCAACTCAAAGTTTTTGGAGCTGTTATTTAAAGGTTAGTTTCAGCCTGACAGCCTTGAATGTGCAAAGTTACAACTTTCCACATTCTGTGCTGGCTTCCCACAACTCTGTAAATGACACCTCCGTGAGAGACTTCCTGTGCATCGTTGTGTCCTCCCCTGGCACCCATCCAAAATACCACAACGAACGGAGACACTCAGCAGAGTTTATTCCAGATGACCAGCACTCAAAATGATAATTAGCACACGTTTAAAGCGCTCCACTGCAGGGTTCAACTGTGCCAAGACATCATTTGGCCAACAATCTCCTCTAATTGTGACTAAAGGCAACGGCCTTCATGCTCAGGGTTGGAGCTTCTGGGATAAGGATAAATCCCACAGAAACCTTCTTATCCAAACGATTGCTATGTTTATCTTTGGAATGGAATGCATCCACCGTTTCACGCTAAACCAGAAGCCTGAAAGCACCATTCCCTTTACTCTTCTCAAAGAATTTTAGTACTGGAAAAAAAAATGGAATTGCCAAACATCTTTGATATACTATTCCTAGAACAAACTGTTTAGAACTCAAATAAACCCATCCATCACTGATTAGCGAACTCCATTGGGAACAGAAACGGTCTATGGATAGCCTCAAGGTTTCACAATCAAAAAGTTGTTTTTCCCAACGGTTACGGCGAAATTTACAGGGGAAATTGAGAACTGAAAGTAATTCATTGCGGATTAATAACTTTAAACACAACTCATACTAGTCACAGTTCTGCTTGTGTTTCCAAAGAAATGGAAACTCTGAACAGAAACTGTTGCTGAACATCTGCATGGAATGTCTTTGCTTCTAATAAGATAAGTAACGAAAATGAAAATCGTGCCAGGATTTCTGTGGAATGTTGACCAGGGTTGACAAGCAAAAATTATAATTATTATTATTATTAGTAGTAGTAGTAATAAAAACTTGATTCGCAAATTTAAATTAAAAAAAATGTAAATGTGTATTTTAAAGTTTCCCTTTGATTTTATTTTAATTAATTATAAAAATATTAAGAATTGTATTTCTGTAATTTATTCATTTGTTGTTTTAAATAGGTCTGTCAATTTAAAAAAAATTATTTATTTTAAACATGAATTAAAAAAATAAAAGTTTGAAACGCATTATATTTTATAAACATTTATTAAAAGTTTCCCTTACCACAAGTGTTGCTGGATTCCCCTTTAGCACTTTTACATATTGTCTGCTTCCACGCACCTTGTGAGCCAGATCTAACCGTAACCATATATTTTAGTCACCTATAGTTAAAAAAAAGCATGCAGCTTTGGAACAACATGAGGTCGAGTATAACTATTCCTTTAAACTATAACTGAGATTATATGAAAACTAAACAGTGTGGATAATAGTAAATGTTGGGACACATCATGATGCATCATCTGATCTCACACCAACCAGCTATACCTGGTTTAACCATCAGAGAACTCAATGTCAGTCTAATACATTCTGGAAGGCCGATAGACAGAACTGAACACATCAGCTGAACGCAAAGCTGTTTGATGAAGTGAAACATCTGATCAGCGTCTCATCAGCTGAGCTGGCCGTTTGATCAGCAAAAGCTCTGAAATGGAAGTGAGAGCGGATTATTCCCACAGGCTTTCGGATAGATAGGCATTATAGTATATCACATGGTCTTTTTCGGAGTTAAACGTGTATAGGCAGGCAACTGTGGGAGTGTTCGCTGCTCTCTCACAAATGAGCCATGAAAACAGGGACGACAAAAAAAAAGAAGCAATGGAGTTTAGCCAGGCGACTGTGCCCCTGAAAAAACAAGCAGGGCAGCGCCGAGCCAGCTCAGAAAATGAGAAATAACCAACATGCCATGTTGCTATTGACCTAGTCCCAAAATGGTAAAAAAAATAATAATATTAAAACAACATCATTTTGACTGTCCTGATACTGAAAGTGTGCAGGCTTTAAAGGATATTCTAAAGGATAATGACTTTGGGGCACCAAAGGAACCAATGGCTTTTACAAAACAATATTTTTGCGGTTCAGTTTGGTGAGACTCGTGACACCGAAATAACACACTTCAGCTTTAAGTTTTGGAACAACTTAAAGTAAACTGTCAAATAACACATTTGATGTGTGACTATTATGGTTTGCCAGAAAAACACTAACCAAAATGAACAGTTCAAACTGAAAATAACAGAACCATTCAAAACCATAAAACCAGTATAGGAGTAACTTCAGTCATTTCAAAAAGAAGCTCGACCTGATCTGCAATCTTACAAGCACAACCACTATACAGTAACTAATAACGTTTAAAAGTAGGGAAGGGCTTTAGAAGTGAGTCATCAGCATGAGGAGTCATTCAGCTACAATCTGCTGAGCGGATCACGCATACTTGGCCAACAAAACAACCCTTGACTGTCGTATTAGGAACAGGTGCAAAACAAAAACAACAGACTGGAGGACAACCAAAACACTGCACACGTGCATGTGAGAGCACGCAAATGCAATAACACACCTATGCTGAGTGCCCAGTTTGATTCTAGAGGATTCATAAAACAACGGGAAATGCAAGCTTAAGTCAAATGCATGAGTCTCACAGCAGCTAAAAATCATTATATGGTATTACTTGATACTGGTACTTTAGTGCCTTGCTGTAAAATCTTAAATGGTGTGGGGAACAATTTATTGTAACTTATGTACGATAAATGGCTGACAATTCTTTTTATATATATTTTGTATACGAAATACACTTAAAAACACTAAACTAATATTATATAGGCCTAATGTACAGTATGAAAACTTAATTTTCATTTGAAGGGAAATTGAAATTCTGTCATAATTTACTCTGTAAACCTGTATGAATTTGTTCTGTGTTGGTAGCCAAACAGTTGATGGAACCCATTGACTTCCATTGTATTTTTTCATACTATGGAAGTCAATGGGGTCCATGGTTTGATTACCCATATTCTTCAAACTATTTTCTTTTATGTTTAGCAGAAGAAAGAAATTCGTACAGGTTTGGAACAAATTGAGGCAGAGTAAATGACAGAATTTTTATTTTTGGATGAACTAACAACAACAGTAGTGTTTTTAAAGTTTAACTTCAAGTGAGCATCACATGCTGGTAAAGGTAATAATGTCTAAAATAAAAAAATATATAGGGGAAATGAGCATGCAGAATTACATGTCCAATACTGACAGATACAGATAAATTATTAAACAAATAAATATATTTAAAAACAAAATACAACACATTTTCAAATAGCTGATATGTATATTGTCCATCCCAACTTTTGATAGTTCCAACTTCCAAACATTAGTTTTATTTTTTTACAAGAGCATGATAATTTAAGACTGACCCCTATTTACATATTATTAAGAACTGTTTTAGCAGGATATTTTGAAATATCCATAATATCCAAGTAAGGTAACTGATCCATTTTAGTTAAAAATAGGCGTCTATAGGTGCTGATTTGTGCTCATACGTTCATGTATATTTAGATGCCTAAGTGTTACAACCTTCATGTATATTTAGATGCCTAAAGTGTTACATTACCTTTTAAGACCACCTGGGTTCACACTTTACGCTAAAGGTGTCCAGGAAAACACATTAATGGTGCACGTTACTATTCAATGTGTTCTCAGCTATGTGCTCATTCACACATCATTTAAGATGCCTAAACACAGCCCTGGGGAACTTGGTGTTCCAAACATTGTGTTCCTACGTCACTGAATCCCACGTAAAAGCTCCCAGAACAGATCAATCCACTGAGGCATTCAGCTTGCACCTCTTAAGGACCAAGCAAATGACTGTGCACACAAGAAACATCCTGTTCTTGGACCAATAAACTGCTTTTTTGGCTTGTTTGTTTGAAAGTATTACTGTTAGTGAGCTTGCATCTCCAGGTGAGATTTCTATAATCTAAAGGCATTTCTCCAGAACACCACAGCAATCTGTTCTTAAAAATATCCCACCAAGTCTAAAAATACACTCTGACGTGCACAGAAAACAGCCATTCTCTAAGCAAGGCAACGCAAATAGGCTTATATTAATCCTACTTGGAAATGCAATGATGCAAATGCATAAATATTTAGATACAAGCCAAAGATACAAAATAGACCTTTATCATGCAAGCGGCAAAGCCTATTCCAATTCTGGTAACAAAAGTTTCTTGAGAAGTGTTGGAACAAGGGATTTTAAAAATTCAATGAAGCAGATTGGAAAATGGAGCATGAGACCAAGATGGAGCGAAATCATATGAGAAATGCCATGTTGCGCTGCCTGCCTATGAATGAAACATTGAGTAGGGCTTATTGAAAATTAATCACAGGAGAATCAGCCCTCATTGGAGTCGTCAGGACAAATGAGCCCATTCCCGGAGGGGAAGACCCCGCTGCCAGATGGCACGGGCCACACGACAGCTTTTCAACGACTTGCAAACACATTTGTGCAAAAGAGAGTGAGTGAAAAAGAGGAGGCTGTGAGGTTGCTATAATTAGAGTACTCTCCGTCAGCTGACCTGAGAGGCCTGAGTTGTGTTGTTGTTTTTTGCATTGATAAAATCCTTACTTGCTGATTTTAAGCAGTTTTTACTAATGAGGGTAAGATTTTGATGGATGAGTATTGATCTTAGATCAGCTTGAGAGTGCAGCTTCCATCCAAATCTGTTTACCTTCTCAATCCGATAAGTGAGACAAACAATTCTCAACATTTAAAAGGATAGTTCACTCAAAAATGAAGATTTTTCGTGACATTTAAAAACAGAAGAAACATCCTTCCGTTAGGCATGATGCAGACCCTGTTCTTTTGCATACATTTGCAAGTGAATAGTGACCCTCAGCAAGCCGTCAAGCACCAAAACGCACCTAAAAGTGTCAAAAAAGTAGTCCATATGACTAAATTCCAAGCCTTTTAAGGCCATTTGTAGCTTTGAGTGAGGAACACACAGATTATTCACTGAAAATCTCATTAATGCTATTTGAATATGTGCCTTGTGTTCTGTTACTAAATCCGTTAGTATTAATGATGGTTGGCATCTTTGACATCAAACCAGGTGTGCCACATTTTAATAAGTACATTTTTGAGAGCTGTCAAGAGAAGATAAGTGTATAACTGTTACATTTTGATCTTTTCCTCAAACAAAGTTATAATATGTATCACCGAGCCATATGGACCACTTTTAAAGAGATTGTTGTCCAAGTCACCATTCACTTGAATAGAAAACAGCAGTGTGAACTTTCTACTAAACATCTGCTTCTGAGATCCATGGAATAAGAAAATCACACCGGCTTTGGAAAGACATGAAGATGAGCGAAACTGGATTCAATTTTTTTTCAAAGCGTGCCAATGTCATCACATAAAGTATGAAAAAGGAAGATCAATAAGGCGGCAACTAAGCCATTTGAAAACTCCACAGAAAACTCTTTGACAGTGGAAACTCTCTGGAAGCGGTCAACTTTACACTAATGAAACTCTGCGGGAAAGAGGATGATTTTTCGGAAAGTTTGCGCAAACCTGTCCTGCTACACTGGTCATTAGTGACAGGAAGTGCCCTGGCCACATTAACATTGGGCCCCACAACATACGTATTAAAGTGGCCACATTCATGGGAAATGGTTCAGTGATTTGGTCATGTTAGCCACACCTACAGACTGGAGCCCTATCACGGCCTGAGGCAGACAGGGAAGTGTGTTCTTAAATTGGAGAAGAACATCAGTGGGGAATAAAAAAATATTAATACTTTGTTTAGATATATTTAAATATAGACCGAACAAAAATCTATTTTGCACAAAGGATATATGGAGGAAATTAATTTAGACACGCTGTCATAAATCTTGGCACACATGAAGGCATGAAATATGTGCACAATGTTCTTCCACATCTGGCCATGCAGCTATAAAAGCCTGACCAAGCCTGTAGGTCACTGGTAATGGATTGAAATCAGGACATGGTGTTTTGTATAGTAGGCTATAACAATAAAAAGACAAAGCAGAGAGCCAACGGCGTTAAACGCAAGACTGAATAAGGATAATGTCAATTTTGTTTCAAGTGAGACATCAACTATGTCCACAGAGACGATTCATTACGTAAAGCCACCAAGAATTGTTTACAAAACGATCGTGTAAGAATAAACACTAGCATTCATTCATTCATTCATTCATTCATTACTATATCATAGGCTACACTAAAATAAAAATATACCGAAATATACGGTTTTGGTGACATAGCCCCTAGACTAAAACTTGCTTTGTTTATAAATGTAGTTTGCCATGCTGTCTCTGTAGCGCTCAGACGAAAACAAAAACACTTACCGCTCGCGGTGAAGACTGAAACGGCAAGAAAGCCCGCCGCAAAAAGTGGGAAACTAACAAATAAGCTGGGTAAAGTTATCATGGTGCCGAAGTGTAGTTCTTCGGTCAACTTCTCGTCGGTCTCAAGAGTCGTTCGGTGTGAATCCGTTCGCCGTTATGACTACGGGTAAGATTAGAAGCGAGAAGGACAATATGTGCGCTCCCACGTGTATCTATGCTCTCAACCAATTACATTCTGTTTTCAACAAATGGTCCCGCCCATGACCCCGCCCCTCGGAAAGTCATTAGTTCGAATAACGGTGCTCTGCTATTCATTGACTTGATACTGTAAACAAAGCGCGGCACGGTTTGCAGACCGAGAAAACATTTGGTGGTTTCAGGCATTTTGCTGTTTACAGGGATAGCTCAGCAAAAAAGACACACATTTAACGTTACTCACCCTCTTGTCGTTAACTTGTAAAACTTTCTTTTTCCTGTAAAATACAAAATGACCTAGTAGCTGACCATATTAGGTTATCAGGAAGTTAACTTTTGGTTATAAAAATAAACCCTAAAAGTGACCATTAGTGATCGTTTTATGAATGTTTATTTTGGGTTGTCTCATAAAAAAACCCTAGCAACGCCCTGGGAAGATTATGATAAGAAAAGCTGAAACCAAATAAGAACTTTAACGTTATGTGCTTGCTGCAAAGATGTTAATGGAAAATGACAACGTTTAGTCACCGTCCTGCATTTCCGTTCAATGAAAGTGAATAAGGGTGTGTTTCTGTTCAACTATTATTAATACTAATAAATTATGACAGAATCTTCATTTTCATAATTTTTCTGAATTCTGCCAGGCTTCTGAAGATGTTAGAAGTGCTTATTTAAAGCTCATCTAGGTCTAACTTCATGCTGTTAAATTATGCAACTGAAGATAATTCTTTTGTATTTTTTTATAACAGTAATGAAAAGGGTTTTTAACTGGATTGTTGTGACAAACAACTGCTGCATGCATACAAAAGCAGTAATTGGGCTTTGCTAAGTGGGTGTGTTGCTCTGGAAAAGATGCATTTATGCATGCAGGTCGATGCAAAGTGTGGGTGTTGGTCAATTGGTGATGTTCTTCGCTGAAAACTTGCTTTGTTTTAGTATTCTGCCTGTAATGTAGGCTATAGCAACATGAAAAAATGCTGGGCAATCTAAACTGGAAGATAGAGTAACCAACATAAGATAGATGCAATAGCCTAAGTTAACCCCAAACTTCAAAGGTCTTCACAAAGTCAAAACGTTTAAGAAAGAGACCAATTGTTCATGCACCACTAGATTCTACATGAGAAATAGCTTGTTAATGTCTCTTGGCTCTGTCGCTTAGGCCCTTAAGAGCTGGTCTCTAAATGCTTCTCCACAGACACTTTAGCCAGCCCCACTTGATTTGATTGGACACAAAGTGAGGTTAATTTTCTTCCAGTGGAGCCACTAATCTTTAATAACATAGGCTAATGGATGTCGGCTGGGCAAATCATGGAGCTGGATTTTAAACATCAGACATTTAAGATAACAGTTGTCTTACAAAATATCCATATTATTTAGTGTCACTTAGAGAGATTAACTGAGTTTCATTTATGGCACACTTACGGGAAATAATAATCATTTATAAAGGGGGATTAAATCAGTTGTGTAATTGCTATAGGCCTAACTGAGTCTTCAATATGTTACTGGACTGCTGATCCACTGCTGTTGTCACTTTTGCATCTGGTCTCTCCAGTTCTCTGAATTTCTTTGAGAACACATCACTCTGACGAAAGCACTTGTAATACATGGAGATTGTAAACAACTTCCACACATGTCATGGTGTGTGTTTTCAGTTGTATCCTGCCATCTTGTGGCAATTATCAATAAGCACACAGTTCATGATATTGCTAAGGAAAGCTGTATTACATGTAAAAATAGCCTAATATTACAGGCCTATATGTATTTATGTTATTATTAATAATAACATAATATATAAGCACAAAGTTTTACACACAAGTTTTATGTTAGATCTATGCGATTACCGATTCGACAGCACTAATTAATGTATTTATTCAATTATCAATTTCCCCCAATTTCTTTTAAGTTTTTGCCCGTAAAATATTTAATTTATCCATAATACACAATCCACATTTATTCCTCCTTTTCCATAGGCTATTTTCGTTTTGTGATATGCTAAAACATAAATCTGCAGTAAAGACGTTTAAAAGAATAACATTATTTGTTTATCATTTAATTAGGTGGGAAAACTTTATTCTGTTGAACCATGCAAATACAAAGGAAAAGAAAGTTGTTGTTTTTTCTTAACTTCACAAATTTCTAATTAAAAGTTTAAGTTTTCTTTTAAATGCTTAAACATGCCTCTAATTATACTTGTTGAAACATTTTTGGCTAAATATTTTGACTCTATTTTGAAAGCGAAGGTGCACAGAGTGCAGTAATGAATATTAATAGCACTGTCTGAGCTCCGAATCTGACATCATTCTGACGCTGGTCCAATCAGAGGGCACGAAAGAAGACGCGCTCCAGTTGCTGGGTGTAAAGTGAATGACGATGCAGATGCGTGTTGTTTGTAGTCCTCTGATGTCTTTGAGTACAGTGAAGATGCCAAGAGCAGCGGTAGAGATGAGTCTCACTGGACAACTTTGAAATCAAGGTGTGTATTGTTTTCTTTGTACTTGTCGATTCGATTTTATAGTTAGGCTTATATTAAATTTAATATAACAGCGAGCGTACCGTACAAACAATACATAAAATGCTCAACGGTCCTGTATTTTCTTATAACCACTATTTACAGGTTCGATATGACTCAAACATACACATGAAAAATGACACAGCAACTTTATAATGAATAAAGAACAATTAGAAAAATATTCTTTTTCTTCATATCTTTAAAAAAGTGTGGTACAAGAACAAAACGAATGGTAATTTTCTGTACATTTTAGCTAATTAACACCTTATCTATGCGTTGATGTCAGAAGCATGCTTAATTCTATGGATGTATACAGTATTGCACACATTTTGTAAGTTACACAGCAGGCAGTTCAGGAGCTCTTGTCTGTTACTAAAAGCAGACAGATGAACCCCGTGTAACTCTTGCATAATGCAGGATACTTTGACTGGATGACACATATGGGTCAGTAAAAGTCCCTCTGTTTTTCTGTAGGACTGAACCTCAACACTGAGATTCGGGAGATGCTCTCTAACCCAGCACAGATTGTTCCAGAGTCAAGGTGTCGCATGAATTTCTTAGCATTTTACGTACAATATTCTGTCCACATTTTCTTGGAAAACTATACTGGTCTGGTGAGATAGTTGTTTGCTTTATGCAGCCCCAACAGACTAATCCTGACTTCATCAGTGGCTCGTTAGGGGTGATAGAGAAATATATTAGTATTTTCTTTTTATTTGACTACATATAAACAACATTTTTACACATTATTTCATAAATATTTGGAGGGTTTCTTGGACTTATTCCATTTTCAGCTCTCTAGGTACCAAAATAAGGGGGGTGCATACCGTATCTCGATCTGAACAAGAGCATACAAGTGATATCTAGACTTTGTTATATTTAAATGTGCTTATGTATTTATTTTGTGTATTTTTTATGTATTAAATACATTTATAAGTTGAAATGTATTATTTTTTTTTCTAAATACAGCTATTAGTAAACTAATCCACCATGAGTGCCCAAGTGGAGGCAGACGTCCACACCATTTCTCCTGAGATGCCTGCCATGTTTGATGGTGTGAAGCTAGCCGCTGTAGCTACGGTGCTGTATGTCATTGTGCGATGCCTGAATCTGAAGTGTCCCACGATGGCCCCTGACATCACCTGTCAAGATACCCCTCTCAATCGCTACCTGCTGAAGTCTTGCCCCGTTCTAACCAAAGAGTGAGTGCTGTGACCAAGAAGACTTTCCTGTCATCTTTCATCTGTCTTCTCACACATGGCAAAATACAATAAATATGTCATCCTTCTCTTGTAGAAGACTGTAGAAGAATCTAGAACAAATAGGACGAATCCTTCTCCTGTAGGGCTAATGTCATTCAACATCCAACATCTTGGTTGCATCTCAATCAGCTCTCTATTTCAGGACTGATCAGGGACTCTTGTCTCAATTGCGAAATCCTACCAGTGCACTGAAACCTATGCTCCTTAAAAAGTCCCACAATGCACTGTGAAAACCAGGGAGCATTGATGCTAACTATGTTCCCTTAAAGGAGTAGTTCACTTTAAAAAAAAAACTTTTGCTGATAATTTTTGCAATCATCCAAAATCAGTCAAATAGAAATTAAGGTTTTTGATGAAAAAATATAATGCACTTTACTGGTAACCAATCGGTCCAAAAGACAGTTTCAGTGCAAACTGCAAACTGTTCAAAAGGCTTTAAACGATTCCAGACGATGAATAAGGGTCTTATCACGCGAAACGATTGCTCATTAAAAGTATAAGCTCAAATTTTATAAGCTCAAATGCTCGCCTTGCTCTGTTCTGTGATGAGCGTTCGTGACTCTCCTGTTCGAACTCGTTCATCAAAATGAATGAATCTTTTTTCGTGTCATTTGGTTCATTCAACGAACGAAATGGGCGAATTGACTCGGAAAAAGATTCGAAAAAGAACAGGTTTGGACACCCCTGCTTTTCGTTAGGTATACAGTTTATAACTATCACCCTGTGCATCCAGGTACATCCCTCCCTTGTTATGGGGAAAGAGTGGCCATCTCCAGACTGCTCTTTATGGGAAGATGGGAAGGGTGAAGTCCCCTAAACCCTGTGGGCTGCGCAAGTACCTGCCCATGCAAGATGGAGCCACTGCCACCTTTGACCTGTTTGAGCCACAGGGCGTCCACAGCACTGAGGGTGAGCTTGGGTTTTGTTAGTTGAATTATAGTTCTAGTTGAAATATGGATTACTTGCTTTTAAGGGTGCTTTTTTAGACCTTGACAGCTTGTCGTTCCCATCCACTAAGGGTGTTTATAATTAAGACCATTCCTCTGGAGAGAGAAAGGTGCTGCTCCTACTGTTACTGGAGTTTATCTGTCTCTGTCTCATCACAGACGACATCACCATGGTGATCTGTCCTGGGATCGGCAACCATAGTGAGAAGCATTATATACGGACCTTTGTGGATTATTCCCAGAAACAAGGCTACAGGTGCTCCGTACTCAACCATCTTGGAGCGCTACCAAACCTCGAGCTGACTTCCCCAAGGATGTTCACCTACGGTAAGCCACGTGTGTTTGTTTTGAAACCCCACACCTTTGAACGGCAGTGTACAATGTTATATATTTATATATATGACATTTTATATGATTTGTATAATTTATTTATATGCTTATATCTAAACACACATGTCGCAACCATTTAAAGCTAATTTCTGTGTTGTTTGTCTATGGTATGTTAAAGGTTGTACCTGGGAGTTTTCAGCCATGGTGGGCTACATTAAACGCACATTCCCACAAACTCAGCTCATTGTGGTGGGATTCAGTCTGGGAGGGAACCTCGCCTGCAAGTACCTGGGTGAGAATCCAGCCAATCAGGAGAGAGTGCTGTGCTGCGTCAGTGTCTGCCAGGGATATAGTGCTCTGAGGTGAGACGATATTATTCAATTGTGTTTTGAGTAGTTTTACATTTATTTATTTATTTAGCAGACACTTTTATCCAAAGCGACTTACAAATGAGGACAATAGAAGCAGTTCAACTAACAATAGGACAACAATATGCAGGTGCTATGACCCTTCCCAGTCCAAAGATAAAGAAGATAAAGTGTTAGTATTAATGGGTCAAGTTTTGCCGGAAAAAGATGCTTCTTCAGCCGTTTTTCGCAAATGGCCACGGACTCCGTTTTCTATTTAATATATTTGTGTTTAGGGCTCAGGAGACATTTCTACAGTGGGATCAGTGCAGAAGGCTGTACAACTTCCTTATGGCAGACAACATGAAAAAAATCATTCTATCTCACAGGTTAGTGTTTTCGTTTATTGTGCGGCTCTTTTGGAAATTTGATTGTGATTTGTCAAACACTGCATTCTGGGGTCAATGCACAGTTGATCACAAAATAAACCACTTCAGGATGAGACAAGTCTCAAAGTACGAACACTGTACTTCCTGAGCATGTGTAACTAAGTCAAGTAAATCTGTCCTGTAGGGGAAGTTTATTTGGTATGAGCTCTAGCAAAATGGGGTTTGCCGACCTCAGCCGTCTGTATACAGCCACCTCACTCATGCAGATTGATGACAACATTATGAGGTACTTTAAAAGCTTTCATGAGACAATTCTGACCTTAGGATAGCAGCAAAACCTGTGATGGACTGTAGTTATGTGCCTATAATGATTTTTATCTCTATTAGGAAGTTTCATGGACACAACTCCCTAAAGGAGTACTATGAGAAGGAAAGCTGTGTGCATTATATTCACAATGTAAGTAATATTGTTGAAAGCTAGTCATATTATTTGGTCGTTTTTATGAAAACCATATTCTTCGTCTCTTATGCCAGATCAGCGTTCCTCTCCTCTTGGTGAACTCTTTAGATGATCCATTGGTCCACCAGTCACTGCTGACAATCCCACGCACACTAGCAGGTATTTAAATATTCAAATATTTATTTATCTATTTAATTATTCAACATGTTTATCCACTGAAGGACATAATTGTGGATTATCGCAACAGGCTTTACATTTCAGTACTTTACAATAAGTTATTTTTTACTTTACAATTATTTAACATTAATAAACTACATTAATTAAAGACACTATAACATTATTTTCCAGGTTTCTAATTTTGTTTTGAAGGTCTGCTTTGCTAAAAAAACACTTGAATTTTCTCATATACATGATCGGTCAGATGGCTCAGTCGGTTGTGATTGGTCTGCTTTGATTGGTTAGATGGCTCAGTCTGTTGTGATTGGTCTGCTCTGATTGGTCAGATGGCTCAGTCTGTTGTGATTGGTTAGATGGCTCAGTCGGTTGTGATTGGTCTGCTTTGATTGGTTAGATGGCTCAGTCTGTTGTGATTGGTCTGCTCTGATTGGTCAGATGGCTCAGTCTGTTGTGATTGGTCTGCTTTGATTGGTTAGATGGCTCAGTCTGTTGTGATTAGTTAAATTTACCAAATATTTAACTAATGTTACCAACATGTCAGCACTGTAAAGCAAAAGGCCATGTTTTTTCGAAATATTTCGCACTATTCGGCCTAATAGTGCTTTTAGGTGCCCATAAGACTCTCAGCACTGTCGAGTCTAAGATCCTGCACTGGACACCTGTGCTGAATTTTTCAGGGCCATCTGATCCTTCTCTCTGTGATTATTCATCAGATTACTGCCGTTTGCTTCTTCCTTCAAGCCTCGGGTTAAAGATCCAACAGCGAGCCCTTATTAACAAGTCTGCCTTGCACAAAGGAAATATGCGTCACTTAATCTTTAGCTCCTTGCACTGAGCTTCAACAGAACTTTAAAGTTGATGCATTTTTAAAGAGGTCTTTGCAGCTTTGCAAGTTTTGGATTAATTATTTAGCCTTATGAGTATACGTATGTCTAATTGATATTTTAATACTGTTAAATAATCAGGTTAAATAACTTTTTCAATTTATAATGATAATAATATGGTCCATAATAGGATTGATAACCGGTTCTTATTTTGGTTTAATGTGCTGCACATAAAAAAACAATATATATAACTTCTTTTTCGTAAATCAAAAAATTATTGCGCAACTAGTGTAGTCTTATTGCCACTTATGTTTTGATTAGGGCTGTGAAACGATTAATCACATCCAAAATAAAAGTTTGTGTTTACATAATATATGTGGGTGCACTGTGTATAATTATTTTATATATATAAATATACACACATGCTTGTATGTATTTAAGAAATATTATCATTTATATATTAGTTATATTATATATAAATATAAATATTTTATATATAAATAATATTTTTTTCCTAAATATACATGCATGTATGTGTATTTATATATACTGTATACAAAATAATTATACACAATGCACCCACATATATTATTTAAACAAAAACTTTTATTTTGGATGCGATTAATCGTTTGACAGCCCTAGTTTTGATGAATCAAACACATACAGCTTACATCTAATTGAAATTCTCATTTTTTAACTAGCGTAGTTACAGAGCGGTCAGTAGTAGACTAGTATTTTACATTGATCCATGAATTGTTACCACAGTTTTGTTTCTATTGCATTTATGCCTCTTCTAAAAAAGACTGTAAATCCTTACTGTTTCCCCGCAGAAAAAAAGGAAAATGTGATCTTTGCACTGACGCTGCATGGAGGTCATCTCGGCTTCTTTGAAGGTGCTGTTCTTTTTCCTCAACCCCTTTCCTGGATGGACAAAGTCATAGTCAGTTACGCCAATGCAATCTGCCAGTGGGTAAAACACAGGCAACCGTGCCTCAAGGAAAAATAATGCAGTCTGCAACACAAAGCATAACACTTTCTGGAGTTTTGCTTGTTCGCTCTGAGTTGAGGTTAGATGATGGTTTCTAAAGGTTCGACTCACCCGAGTTTGCTCTGACCTTCAAGAAGGAATTCGAGAAAAAGCACGTTTAGTCATTTTCACTGACTGTACGTTGAGTCACATGTCGATCAGGGGTGTATCGCTACAAAGCTGGACAAACTGTGCAGAGGGATTCCTAACACGCTATTTTTGTTTTAAAGCAGCCTTCTGGAAACACATATTTGGCAAGAGGAGATGGTAAAAAAGTTAGTAACTAACAAAAGTTCACCAGTCATTTACATAGTATAGTAAAAAAAAAACAATGTTGTCAGTCAGCGTATCTGTTGTCAATACACCTTTGTGAGATGTTACAATTTTAATTAGCTTGGCTATGTTAATATTTGGATAAGTTTGACATACATTAAAATTAGGGATGGGCAACGATTAATCGCATCCAAAATAAAAGTGTGTGTTTACATAATATATGTGTGTGTAGTGTGTATAATTAATTTGTATATATAAATACCCACACATGCATGTATATATTTAAGAAATATGTGCATGTATATATTTTATATATATTTATTCACAATTAATATTATATAAAAATATAAATATTTGATATATTAATAACACATTTTTCTTAAATATATACATGCATGTGTGGGTATTTATATATACAAATTAATTATACACACTACACACACATATATTACGTAAACACAAACTTTTATTTTGGATGCGATTAATCGCAATTAATCGTTGCCCATCCCTAATTAAAATGGACCTAATTTTCTTTTGAATAGTCTTTCAGGTTGCCTTGTGTTTTATTGACACTTTTTTTTGTCATGAAAATAGATCGATGTAGCACTTTATGCAATTCATGTTCAAAGCACAATGTTTGACATTCCAAATGCATTTTATTTATTGTCTTTAAATACAATAAAGTTGTAATTTCAAGTGTGCACTTTATTGCTGTTATAACATAACTGTTATAATATAGAAAGTTTGGAACATTATATATTCTTGTAAATATGCTTTTAACATTCTCAGTTAACAAGAGAAAAGTCTGGACTCCAAAAGAATATCAATGTTTTGGGGTAAATTTGGAAACGGCCCTGCGGCAGATTAGCAAGGAATGTACAACACATTTATAGAAGGCAGCGTCACAGAGAACTACCAGATCCTATCTGTTTCCATTTCTCTTTGATGACATCTGGAGACTGGTCCTGTGAGGATGGCTGTTTGGAACGGGGAAATCTCTATGCTGCTGAGTTCACTCTCAGACAAAACACGTTTGATCATTCTGTAATACAATATGACTAAAACAACACACTGTCGCGTTCTGGTACAGTGACAGATAAAAAGGTGCTCAGTCGAAAAGATGTGCAGCTGTGACCTTGCCATCATATTTCGGGCCTTTCCCATCAAAGTCTGAAGGCAGGATTTCAGCGTCAAACTCCTTGTAGTAGTTCTCCAGCTCATCACCGTGGACAAACACCTTCAAAAACACAGAAAATCAAAATCACGAGAGTCTAGCATAAATCATTATTTGGAATAAACACCTTACCCTTTCCAGCAGTTTGCTCTTCATCAGGGGTTTGACCACATTGTAGGTGGTGGTGAAGTACCAGGGCTGGTGGATAAAGTGCACTGCTTTGAAACGGGCAGGGAAAGAATCCTGCCATACAGAAACAGAAATGAAATGTTAGCAATTAGCATATGTAAATATTGATATACATGTAGAGTGTGTTAACGGTGCACTCAATGTTGTTGTAGCCCCTAATCGAGTGACGGTCATGGGGTCTATACGACCCCAATCGACTTTTACTTAATAAAAAAATAAAGGTTTCCTTCAAAGGTTCCCTCAGTGGAATAAGATGTTGTGACTTTTCATACATTATCTATACACACACAAAAATGGGAATGGGAAATGTGAAATAAACTAAATATTTTCTTAATGTGTCAAAAAAAACAAATCCGGCATAAATCTGAAAATGTTTACACGGAAATGAACGCCTAGTACAATACATAAATTATATTTCATATGCAAGCTAATGGTGTAGTTGAGGAATTGTGTGGTTTGTGGATACAAAAGTTCTTTATATCTCCAAAAAAACACAGCATTAATGAATAGATGAGAAGTAAAATGTTTAAAAATGTATATTTTTTGTATAATAACTCAATCAATTGTTGGGGTCGTATACACCCCGAAGCCCAGAAATGTAAACAGGAAACAAAGACCTTTGACGGTTAATGTCATCTTGGACTTACACTGACACCTAGTGGCGTAGTTGCAGCATTACATAACAAGATTCAGTTACTGATGTTGTTAGTAGGTAGCATTATGCAATACCTGTCTTTTTGAATTTCACATGGTTAGGTTAGGCGTTTTTAATGCAAAACAAAGAGGTTGAATTTTTTATGTAATAATATTTTGATTAAAGGCAAGTTTTATTTACACAAATGGACATTAGTTAGAGTTGCTCTAAGTTTTGTGGTATTTAAAAATGATTTGAATTTGTATTTCAATAATTAGAGCAGTTTAAAAAGGAATACCTGCAACTCTCTAAATTATATGCAATATATATTGATGAACTCCCCCTTAATTGTAATATATTTAAGTATTTATTTATTTTTCTCTTTCAATGAATGCTACTTGGATTTATTGTAACAAAAGTCACCTGCAACATGTCCACCATTTTCTTCAGCTCTGTAGGTTTGATGCCGGAGGCTTGCTGCATGGTGAAACCCTTGAAGTTTTCAATGATGCAAAACCCGTTGATCTGTGTCTCCTCGTTTTCCAGAAGCTTCTCCAGGATCACACAATAGGCTCTGAGGATCTGGAGCAAACACAAAATCAATTTCTGTGGAAACCATTATATTTTTTCAGGATTCTTTAATGAATAGAAAGTTCAAAAGAACATAACAGAATTAACAATGTATACAACTTTACTGTCACTTTTGATCAATTGAATTTGTCCTGGCTAAATAGTAAAGTAAGTAAAAAATAGTAAAGTAATAGTAAATAGTAAAAAGTGTTAACATCTTTTTTTTTTTTAAATGTTCACTTTATCCACTTTTGAATGGTAGTGTGCATTTTTATTAATACAATAAAAAAGGAAAATCAATCAATATACAATCCTACCAGTTCAGCTTATTACCACTAAAAAAAAGAAAATCACCTCATCAAAGGTGATCTCCTCATAGTCCCAGTTCTCAATGTTGAAGAGCAGTACCACGCGGCCGTATTTATCTCTGCTCGACAGGATCCCTGGGTATCCGGCCTCAATGGTGCTGCGGACAGCCTCAGGGGTCAAGTTTTCGAAGAGCTCAGGGTAATCCCGTCTGAAGCGCACATAACCTTAAAACCAATAATAGTCTGTTTTAGGGTGAGTAGCATTCAGGTGGCAGCAATCACAAACCTATCTGACAAAACTGCTTACCCTTCATGAGTTCATAGGCCCTGTTTATTTCATATTTCCTGGCACGAATGAACCTCACCAGCACGCCATCGGCTTTTTCCCCAAAAGTGTCCTGAACGCCTTTAGCAAGTTCATCTCCAGAATCCGCCTTCTCTTTCATAATACCTCTCAGTTCCTTTACGGCGGACACTCGCTTCTCATCCGTCTCATTTAGCTCATCTTTAGCCTACAATGAAATCACAAGTTAAACAAGCAAGTCAAAATGTGTATGCTAGTATGCTAACTTGTTAGCTGTTAGCAGATGTTTATGTTGTTGTGGTAATTAGATTTTAACATTTTCTCAAAAAATCTTGATGCTGGATGTTTGCTAGGTTGTTTTGGGTGGTCACTATGTGGTTGAAATATAATAATAGCATCATTTGAATTAGCAAACAATGCTAATAGTGAATTAGCTATAGTATTTAGACAGCTAAAATGTTGAGTTCACTGTAATTGCGTTTACATGCATTCAAACTTTCTAAAGACTTGCTCACACCTTCTGCACCGTGTGGTCGGGTATTTGTTCACAGGGTCCGAACACCGGCCCGTGATCTTTGACCGTGAGGTGCTCCAGTTTGGCCCTGAGGGCCTGCTCCTCCTCAGACACCATCCGGAATGATCCGCTCTATAGAGAAAGACCAATGAAAACATCCTAATCCTGAGTTTGAAGCAAACACTTTAGTTTAGTAGCCCTAATCAACGGAAGCTAGTGTGGGCCAATGCTAAGCTCACTCACATGAATAGCATAAAGCCTAGTAAACCGGGTCTGAGATTGGGGATAAGCCGCTAATGTTCATAGTTCTATTCCTGTACTAGAAACGGCTTGTTCTTAAAACATTTTTTCACCAAATGAGTGAAAGTTTGGAAGAAAGAGGGTGAGGTCACGTTGTGTGACATAACAGGGACTTAAGACTTCAGATTAGTGGAAAATACAGAGTTAATGCTAATAAAACTGTAAAAGTTCTCTATTATAATAACAGTTTTGTCAGTAAGCATCATTGAATGTGGTTTTACTTAATGTGAAAAATAAGACAAAACTGTACTTACAACAACAGCCATTGCTTCAGATGCTCAGTAAATGTTCTGTGGATGGAGAGATATTTATCACAAATAAAATACTTTTATGACAAGGATATCACAGTTTTTCCAAACCATGAGACATTATAAAAGTTGAGTGACTTGGTAAAACTTCTATCATCGTAACAAATAAGTTGTTCTGCTATACTTAAGACAAACACTAATTAGTTTGAATAACCAAATTTTGTAAGAAAAAAAGAGAAATGTTTCAACTGAAAGCAGGTGTTTTCATTTTGATGCTCAGGACCCCTAAATATGATGATTCCCCTCGCAAGGCACATATGTTTTTTATTTAAAGTGTATATAAACGCTAATAATGTTTGAGGAAAAAACAACATATAATAAAGACATGTTGTTTCTGAAATTAATTAAACGGCTTTTATATTGTCATTGTACTGAAGGAAAATAAATTATAGAAATATAATACTACATTTTTTTAAAATATTTTAATAAGTAGGCTATATTTACCCACTTTTAGAGTAATAAAATACCAAATAACATTGTTTTTTTCTTAATAAAAGATTGTTTTCTTATTACGTATATTGTTAAAATTAGGGCTGTATAATATAATTGATTAATGATTAATCTCATGATTTGTGTAGTCTTCAGAAAGAAAAATTAAGGAATCTAAATAATACATTTCAATTATTATTGGTATTGCTTTGTATGAAGTCTTTTTAAACTCACCATTAGAGTTATAAAATACCAAAACAATCAAACAAATTAAATAAAATATTACCAATAAAACAGCAATAAAAACCAATAAAATAAAACGGATTTCTTCTTTTTAAAAGATGGTTTTCTTAAAAAAAAAAAAAAAGACCTCACACCTTACATTCACCATCACTTTAAAATAATTATTAATCCATCATCATTATTAATATTATAAAATATTCTAAAACATGGACAACAAAACAAATCCCATCTACCCTGGGCAGGAATTGTCACTTACCTGCTCAAGCCACCAGAACTGAGTGAGGTGAGGAACAGGTGGCTTTAATAATTTGTAGTGTGACCCCTGATGGATTAACAGCGTCATATGGGATTATGCAGAGCAGATTTGATGTTAATCAGCGAAAAAACATTGAGAAAAGGAGCAAAGAGAACATTGACCAATAGCCTGCAGCCAATAGCATCATGGCTCTAATATTTTAATAAAGAGAAGCCTTCCCCCACCCCAAACCTTGACTGAATGAAAATATAGCATTCACAAAGAGAGTGGACAGGAACGTATCAAAGTATTCAAGGTTAAATTAGGTGAATTTGGCAATCCATGGACCAATAAGATTTCACTGCATTCCAGAACCAGTGAAAAATATGTGTTGGCAACGTGAACGTGTCTGGAAATAGACCTTGAGTTGAGACTTTAAACAGTGTTGAGCTGTGTTCTCACATGATGCCAGGATATATCAATTTAGAAAATAGTTATAGGATAAATAATGCATCAATTTAAGACTCCAAAACATCAACCCTTTAAGGCAATCAATATAAAATATATAGTCAGAGTCAGCGATTACAATTATTTACAGTCCTGTATTTTTAGGTAACGTTACAATTTTCTTCACAAAACATCTCACAGTTTTTTAACTAGGTAAAAAATCATATAGATGGCATTCAGATTGATTTGTATAAATGCTGAATTCAAGAGGGTTGAATATGGTGTGTGCCCAGAATGCCTCCCACGTCACTACAATGTTTCCTGGTGATACATTGACCGGTGGGCTGGCTTTAATCTCTTAAAGCAGGATTTAGCCTTTGAATGTGAGGGTCTGTTACCAAAGCAGTGGGATTGCAGCACAATGGTCGTCTCTGTTACCAGAGCTGCTCAGAGTCTCAGCTCCACGACTCTTGCAAAGGAAATGACAAACAAATAGTGGAAAGACAATACATTTTGATGATTTGTTATTATACAGGTACCGTGTAGGCTATATTGTTTCATTCAAAGCAGAATATTTAGACCAATGACGAACTTTTAAGACCTTTCTTCCATTACATCATAGTTTCAATCTAACCTGTCATGTGCCAGTGAACGCTTACATCACACATCAGTGTACAGAATTAACACCAAAATACTAGATTCAGGGTTTTGAAATGCATCTTGACAATACAGCTACTGTGAGAGCAACGAAACACCACCTAGGTCAAAAGAGAGACACGATATTCGCGAAATATGTTTAGTGATAACGAAAGTAATGACAATGCTTAGTCACAGGAGAGCTTGTATAATCGTTTACCTCGCCAAATCAGACGGCACAAGTGACCACTGAAAAGTCATTCATGGCAGTGTGAAGCACAGGATGGCAAAAACTGAATTAGGAGCATTATTGCTTTGGAGTTGTCTGTGGCCATTTACGATTTAACTACTTTAATCAAGTAATCTTTGGGAGTTCTGAATCATCTTCTTGAAGAGAAATTTTAACACTACCTCTAAAATCAAATGATTTTGAAGGCCCACATTATAATCCTAAGGAGTTGACGTCACAAGCCACTGATATTATAGATTTAGAGTAAAATTGTTTAAATTCTATTCATGTTGCATACAAAGTCATAAAAAGCTAGATCTCAAAGACACAACATTCAACAAAAACAAACCTGATGCATGCAGATAATCTCCAACCCAAAAAAACAATTAAAGCACAGTGGAATAGATTGTATATATTCTTGAGTGAAATCTGATTATTTCTATAGTAAATATGGAATTTCGTGCGAAATTTCACTTCGCCACATTGACCGACAGTAATTTCTTCGTTTAAAAGCGGCAGTGCTTATCGACTAACCTTGGGTCGCTAGTGAAAAAGAAGTCATTTCGTATCCATAATCTTTATTTAGACATTTTTGTATTTAAACTTTTGACATAAAAGTGTTTTCAGGATGAAGAGCATTGTCAATATAACAATAATGCTATCTGCAACTTCACAGAAAGCATAATCACAGATATCATTGATATCATAACAGGTTGATAACATTGATCATACAAATGACAAACTCAAAATGGAGTTAATCTCTAAAATACAGACTGTGTAGATTCAAAATGCTGTTATTAACTTTAAAATCCCTTTATGAACATTATCAACTTTTACAGTCAAAGTTTAAGTTATTAAATACGTTTTTAGTGCAAGTGCAATATTACAGTTCTACAAATTACACTTCCACCTTTCCTTACCGAATGTTAACATGTCAAGTTTGAGGTTTAAATAACATTAAAGAACAAAGACGATTCCTGGGATTGAGGTTGGCATCGTTATCCTAGGTCTTGGACACTGCCGTCCATAAACTTTCCGTCTAGTACTCATCTTCCACCATCAAACTTTCCGTCCAGTACTCGTCTTCCACCATCGAACTTTCCGTTTGGTTCTGGTCTTCCACCATCGAACTTTCTGGCCAGTACTGGTCTTCCATGTAGTGCTTTAGGGAGCTGTTGGGGTTTGAATTACGGTCCGTGTTAGAAACCCAGGACAGGATGCTTTTTTCCCACTCATCCCCTACCAGCTTGTACAGGTCCATGGCAGCACGGGAATCCTCTACAGAGCAGTGACCCATCCTGCCAGTCTGAGAAAAATATCCAGTATGTCAACAAGCAGCAAGTAAAGAGAAAATGTATATATACACCAAGCCTGACGTCCCCACTTTATTTCATTAAAATGACCTGATCTTACCTGTATGGTCCTATTAAGAAGAGTCTGAGCCAGTTTCTTTAAAGAAATTTTGCATTTTTCAGCAGAATTATACAACTTTCGCAGCAAGCTACAGGAAGAGGTATCCCTAATCATTCGTGGCGGGACGGAGATGTCAAGCACCAGGAAGTCATTAAATAAGGCATGGCCAACTATAATCTTCTCTTTGAGGATGCTGGCAATCTAGAAAAAAATATATATATTCAGTTATTTCAGTCATATTCAATGAAATTTAGTAGTGGTTTATAAGCAGGGCTCAACAATGATGTTATGGAGTTACATTAAAGTTGTAAAGTATAATTTCCAGCTACAAATAGGCTATATTGAAAAGCAATAATGTAACTAGAGTATACAAATATGTAAACCTTTTTAAACCTAAAATGCACTATATTTTATAAAAATATAAATAAAATTTTATTTTAAAACAGCTGCCGTAAATTGTAAAAAGGAAACAATAATAAATCCACTATAAATAAAGGGAATGTAATTAGAAAATCTGCAATATAATAGATAAGTGTAAATGTATAAATAAAAATACTAATAATAAAGTTTTTTTTAATTTAAACTATTTAAACTAAAAATTACAAAATTCCTAACATGGTACAGAGAATTTATACTATTAATTATATTAATAATACTTTTAACTTAATTTAATAATATTATTTAAATATCCACTCCACTTCCTTTATTTTTTAACATTTTTGTGGTTGGACCAGTGAAACTATAGACAAGGCAATTCAAAATCTGAACTACTGGCCTCAATGAGCCACCAGGATAAAATTCTTATAGTTCAAAACTACTACACATTGTAAACCCACCTACACACACACAAAAATTAAAACAATAAAGAAGACCTAAAAAAACCCACAAGAACAGAATACAGTGGTTTAAAAAGGGTCCTCTCACCTCATTTTGAGCATCCTCAAAAGGCACTGCATGAGCTAAATGATGTTTCCTAATGCCACTCCATCTTGTGCGGTAGTCTGTGACTGGATGCCGAGGTAAAATATATTTATCATATATAACGCTACCATAATAATTTACAATACTACAGCGTGCCACTTCACTACACCGACCACCAAGTCCAGTGCCGACCATTTCACAGTCCAGAGCTACTAGCCTAGAGTGGTCTATTCCCACACATGGTGAACTCCTGCCACTAGTGGGAGGGCTGGTTTCAGATGAAAAGCCACTGTCCACTTCCCATCTATCAGTGAAAGGTAGTGCAGATTCAGCTTCACTCATCAGTGTATGAGGGGTTAATCTAGGCCTTTTGAATTGCACATGATTTGACTGTTCAGATACAGATTCCAAAACATCTCCATGGTCAACACTCCCCATCTTGTTTTCCAGAAGCTCATCTGACTTTCTTTTCTTTCCTCCTTTCTGGTCAAATGACAATTCAGTAGTGGAATCTTTTATTTTCTTCTTTTTCCATCGTCTACATCTTTTAGCTTGATTAGAAAAAGTGGTTGTTTCTTTTTTTGAGGCTGACAAGATGTTTTGGTCCACACCGTGTCCGTGACTGGTGAAGTATTTCCAGGGTAAAGCAGACATTATGTGAGCATGTAGTTTAACAGCTGTCAAAAAAGAAGTTACTGTATCAATCAACATTTGTGGAGGATGTAGCCTACATATTAAGTTGAGAATCATGACATGAAATCTCTCTCCTAAAAAACTAAATGACAAATATATCAAGAATAGTGCAATCTTAATAAAATATGCAGTTACCAAGTAAGTCAATTGAGATGCATGATCAATATTAACTGCATATTTGACTATATAAAAAATATGAAAGGAGTAGATCGTCATTTAGCAATGGCTAGCTAATCTTTTAGCAAAGAAACAACGTAATTTGTAGCGTTTACGTTTAATAACAATACATAACTGACACAACACTACATTGTAAACCACTTCGACAAAAACAAACGCTTATTAATATGGTAAAACTTCATATTTGCACACAATAGCACTGTTAGCAGCACATACCTCTGCGTACACGTGGACCCGGTTAGAAGCAGGGAGAACATGCCGAGACTAGACGCAAATCCCGCGATTTGATTGGCCTGCCCGTTCGGACTGTATTGCACTCTGATTGGCCAAAACGAATGGCAGCACAGAGCTCCTCCCCTAGGATCTTCCAGATGTTGGACGTAAGGTTGTTTTATCCTTTCTTTTACTTTCTATGGTTTTATCTCTGATTTTAACTTTTCTTTCTGAATGGAAGTCAATTAAAGAGATTTTTTTAGTAGGCTGAATAAACTGCTGAGAGATAAATGGCAATAATACCAAAGAACAGTGCAGTAGCCTCGTCTGAAGGAATTTGACGACTAGCAAGATACTAAGTTTATGACGGAATACTAAATTGATGGCTGGGTTTTACATAATGGCAAAGACAATTTTGTTTAAATATAGCATTATTAAATACAACCCAATTACAATTATAAATTAAATTCAGCAATTATAAATTAAAAATTACATCTCTACCTTGATATCTGTTAATCTCTGTTATAACGTGACTTATCATACATGTTATTCGCTCCTTGGCCAGCCACACTCTCTCTCACTGCTTTAATGTACAGACAGTCCGATTGATGCACATGTGTTTGGATATGGATTATTGAATTTTTAATAATGAAAATGTGTTTGAAATGTTTTTAAATGAAATATCCACAGCTTAAATATTCAACCATGTTGAATTTCAGCCCATAAAAATGCAAGCCTTAAAATTACAATGGATTAAAATGCAAGCATGGTTAACGCAATCCATTTTTTTTTTTCAGTTGGTGCAATTCAACATGCTTTTTGTTTCAAAAACATTTGACATTATTTTACTTCTATAGTATTAGGCCATTTAAGTGCTGTGATTACATTAAATCATTCAAAAGGGTATTGATTTTTTTTTTTTTCTAAATTTATTAAATAGTAATTCATGCAGGTCAGTGAGTTCGGTTTGAAGATGAGGGGCCTTGAAGAGTTGGACATCTCTGTGAATGTAAATACCTGAAGGCAGAAAATTCTTATTTATATCCATCACACTTAATATTTTGATTATTTGTATAGGCTATGTAATATCTTTCAAACCTTCTTAAGAAAGCTCTCTTCCATATTCGTCCAATCATTCCCATTGTCATCTTACACATCTTTGGAGTCCACTCAGCAAGTCTAAATTCCAGTCACAGTCTTAGAATAAAATGAAAACACTTGAATATTTACTTGTTTTTGACATATACCTTAGAAGCATGATGTACACCATCTCCACTGGGAGAATACACCACATTAGACAAGAAACCAGTTTCACTGAGAAAAGACATTGTATTTCTTCATTCTCCATCATGCTAGACTTGCAAAACACTAAATGGGGTGAAAAATAGATCAATTTATCCATGTATAACGTTCCGGATTTATGAGTTCATGGTGTCAGATGTCAGTTATTTGTTGTCTCACCCTTTTTGATGGATTCTGGAAGGAAACTTTTAGAATTCCCAGTCACTGTTGGCATGTTTTCACTGATATATTTCTTAGATGTTGGAATATGATCCCATAATCCTGACAATGGCGACCTGAGCTTCATGAGTTCTGGAGAGCAAAACAAAATTGGATATAAACAGCCACACACACAATTACCCTAAATATCAAGGAAGACTGTAATCTACTCACTATATTCTTGTAAAAAAAGGAAAGCATCCTTATATCCATTTTGACACATCTCAGCCAAGACCTTATGAAATACCAAAAGGGTACGTTGGCGTGGTATGGATTTGAAACCAATGTACCAAGATAATTAAACATAAATTAAAAAAATGTAGGCTACCTCTGGTTCTGGAGGGAAAAATGCAATAACCACTCTGTGTGCATTGATGAAGTTGACATGAATGCTGACGTTATTGTAGTATATTTCATGGAAGTAAAACGGGTTGCCGTAAGGACTGATGTCGCTCTCTCCAGAAAAAGGGGAGATTGTGATTGTTTCTCTCAGACTAGAGAAAGGCATGTTATCACTCAATGCTCCATCTACATACCTCTGAAAAGCAGATAAAATGGGGAAAAATGGATAAAACTTACTCCTTCAGACAGAAGTCTGGAGGTAGGACGCATGTCTCGTTCGTTCCCCTTAGAGAACAATTATTACATTCGTAACCCGAGACGTTTTATTGAGAGTTTACATCTCGCAATTCTGACCTTTTATTCGAATTGTGAGGTATAGGCTAAATTTGCAATTTTGACTTAAGTCAAATTCTGAGGGGGAAAAATATTTAGACTGACATTAGCCTATTTCTCAGAATTGCGAGTTTATATCACGTAATTACAATTGTGAGACTTACAAAAATCGCAGTTACTATTTTATTTTTTTATTCAGTTATACAATGGGACACAATGGGTACATTTTCTTATGCGAGATACTGCATTCACACCGCTAGGTGTCAGTATAATATCAAGATAATAAGGCCAAGCAAAACATTAAAACTAATAATGAACGAGTACACATTTAATTGAAAAACTGCAAGCAATTTTATCACAAAATTACAATCAAAAGTCTGTGTTTGGCTACGTACTATTCCATGATAGCTTGGAGGCATCACACCACAATACAGTGGATAAAAGCAGCTACAAATCAGAGCCTGCAGACAGGGAGCAAATTGTAAATTATCAATCCTCATGAATACTTATCATCAGGAAACAAAAGCCATTGACAACAAGGTAGTTGAGTTTACCTGAATGAGATCTTCTTTACTGTCAAACTCAGACACCAACACATTAGTCCCATCTGACACTCGAGTGAGTGACACATACAGCCGTCCACTGGCGAGCAGGTGGGCGTCCTCGGGCAGGTCTCTGCCTAAGAAGTTTCGTACTATCTTCAGTAGGTTGAAGGAGGGATGCACAGCACCCAGAGTGCCTTTCGGGACATTTCCAGCAGATTTTCACAGCATTTGGCTTCAAAATGGAATATCCTTTATTACCACAAATTCGAATCAATATAAAAGTAATTTAAAAATGTGTAACATGGGGGTGTGTTTCTATCCTTTATGATTTGTATATTTGGATTTTAAAACTACTATTCAATATTATTTGTTTGTGTGTGTGTGAAATGTGTCTAATCCATGAAAAGTGCCTTCCACACAACTTTTTTTATCTTTATAAACCACAAATTATTGTTGAAACGTACCTGGAGACATTTGGCATGCTATCACTGCACCCATCAGAGCACCAGATGAAGCCCCACAAATCTTTGTCACCCCCTTAAGAAGAAACTGGGCCCGTTCGAATAAACAGCTATATACTCCACAGTAGTAAGCCATCAGAAATCCACAGCCGGCAAAAGAGATATTCCATTCTTTAGCAGACGCCTGCATGTTTTTCAACACACTGTATGAATCCCTGAGGTTACGCAGTGCAGGTGCTAGAAAGTGATTGGTCAGTCGTGAGCACCGATCTGGCAATGCTCTAATATTGCGAAACAGAGTGTTGCAATCACAAGGATCACAGGGAAAAACATTATGTGGGACATTGCTAGTGAAAACATTAGTGATCTTGAACGCAATGATTATTTTTTAAGCACTTTAAAAAAAAAAAATAGTTTTATTAAAAATATTATATTTTTTATGATTATTATATCTTTCTATATGAATAAAAACAACAGAAATAAAGGATCACAATAATCAGTTTATTTTGTTTAATGAAAACATTTGTGACATCAGTGCAGCTAAAGCAGTGCAATATGGCACTCAAAACTAATAGACAAAAGAAACTGATCTCATTTTAGGAAAATGCGCAGAAAATCATTGTATGAAATCCTCCCAGAAAGGTAACCGTCAAAAAAAGATGTGAAATGAAAGAATTCTTCCTCTGAAAGATTCACGCTGTACTGTCTCAGAACCTAAAAAACAACAATCCAAAAGATGCATAATTAAATACAGGACGTGGACTGTTTTTAAGCACAAAATAGTGCCTTGTACCTTTCTAAAGTCCTGAAGAGAGATCTTTCCAGTGCGTTCTTTGTCAAGGGAGGTGAATTTTTGCCTCATCTGCCTCCAGACGAGCTGGATAGGCCTGGAGATTCTCAGCATGGCTTCAACACACTGAGCACTAAGTGAACTGGGATTCATCTAAAGGAGGAAGTCAGAAAAAGCTGGATGAGCTACACTGGGCTATAACCACTCAAGATGGCATTGGCATTGCATTGCAGTGAACTCACTGGTGTCGTGGGGAGCTGCAGTTTGAGTCTGTTGGATGAAGTGTTGACCGAGGGCTGAACATGAGCACAAAGTGCCGTAGGAAGTCCGGGTAAGAGAGACGTCCGCTGTTTTTGATGTCATATTTGACAGCCAGCTGCTCAAACTCAAGTGGACTCAGCTCAATATGGAGGCCCTGGAGTATCTCTGCAAAGCATCAGTTCAAATTCACCATTTACAAACATCATTGTGACAATATATGACAATGTTTCCATTGTCATTTGCCATTTATTATTATTAGGGGTCCTGCACTTTTTGACAAATTAATTATATATAATATATTAAAAATGTGTATGCATATACTGTATATATATACACTTATACAGTTGTATAAGTATATATATATATATATATATATATGATTATAAAATAACAATTATAGAATTTTATATCAATGAAAATACAAAAAAAGGATATAATATATTTCATGTTATTTATAATTATATAAATATGGATTTGCTAATCAACCCTTAAGGAAAATTAGTTTAAATGCATCTATTTTATTCATTCATATATATTAAAATTGTATTTTGTTATATTGAAAAATACATACATACTATATTATATAAAAATCATTATAATTCAGATGGATTCATTGATAAAAATTAAGTTAATTCAGGAAAATAAAATAATTTCATGACTTTACCATGGTTTTTTAGTTGATTAAAAAAAAAATAATTGTATAATAATTATACAAATTATGTATAATATATATTTTAGCACATTTTATATAATATGTGATATATTTATATTATATACATTTATTAAAGTTTGTTTATTAAAGTTAATTATCTTATATTGATATAAAATCATTATAATTCAATAATAATCATTCATTGCAAAATATTTTTTTATGACTGAGTATTGCAAGGTTGAAATGTGCTGTGAATGATAAATGGATATAAATCAGGCCTCAAACATGTACCTAGGAATATATCCACATCTATCTCCCCTGTTCTGTCAGGGTCCGCCTGCCTGCATCTCCTCTGAATGTGCCTCCAACAGTCCTGGATCCTGGAACGCACCTTCATCTCCACATCCTCACAGTTCAGCAGTGGCGTGGACCTTCTGCCCGCCGTGGAGGGCCTCTGAAGCCGCTCTGAGACTGATGGCTGCGAGATACAAATGACACTGGAGACACTTGGAGAAAGTAAACAACCAATATCAGCAAATGAAGCAAGTAATGCACTGTACCATGGAGCGTGTAAAGGTGCAAGGTGCTGTTTTGGGGCGTCTGAGGGATGCTGGTCTCTCCAGTGTTGATCTTGCTGAA